AGTACTACCTTTGGCCTATGGGACACAGCAACTTTCATTTGATTTTAACCCTTTGAATTGATCTGGCCGTCTTTCGACCGCCTTATGCCGGCTAGCTGAATATCCGTCGAATATCCAACCTAAAACTGATTTCACCTCGGTGCCTTACCTCAGCCAAACGGCATCGGCCGAGTACGGCTGCTTTCCATATATCAAGTTTTCTTACCTTTTCTTTTTATTTCCCCTTATCCTTTACTTTACTTAGGCCTATTGCTTTACTATAGATAGCTCTCAGGAAAATCAGTTTCGTTGCGTCCCTCTCTTGCTGTATGCTGCAGCCTCCTGTTGCGCATTTTCATAAGGGAACTTTGATTTGATTTTGATGCACCCAATATTTCTGCATCACCGACCGATCAATCAGTTTGTACTGAAATACGTACGTGTGTCTATCTGCGAAAAAAAAAATAAGCTGGTGAAAAACCCATATGGTACCAGCCGACCAGCAAGTCAAATGGTTCCACAGGTAATTTACAGCAAAACACGGACATCGGTTATTTTATCCCAGTAAAATAATATGAAGCGCCTTCGGTATGTGAGTAATGCGGTATACGTATTACTCTGACAGTTTCGTTTCTGACCGGGTTTCGTTTTCTGTTTTCTGATGTCACCGCGTATGAAACGCATTTATATAAAGATGGGATGGAGCTGCTGGTTTTACTTCACTTTCAGTATTTTACTTTGCAGATTATGTCCAGTCTTCAGCACAAAAGCGCAAAACAAATGTAGTGTTTTTAGGAAATATTTAATCGCCGCGTTTACCTATCCTATATATGATCCACGGACGTGTTTCTTCAATCTACTTCAGATAGGCTACTTTGGTAAAGCGAATGATCTAGGATATTAGGAGACGAGTTTTGCGCCTGGAAGCAAATTAGTGTAATGTATTCCTGGGGAGAGAATGCTCTCGGGGATTCAGGGCAGACCGACGGACTTGATCTGGACTGTCAGCTCCTCAGTGAGCGGGACATATTATCTGTCGGAAGGGAAATAACTGCATTTGTCCAACGAAATGAGGAACGCACCTTCTATCTGCGTAAAAGGAACACACGGGAAACAAGTAAGCATTTATTTAACTGACACAGGGATTGTATCATGGATCGCTTTGAGCTGTGGATATTTTATTATTGTAGTTGTTTTGTATTTCCATAACTCTATTCATTTTAGACACTGGTTTAGAGAAGGTCAGGATTCCAGTAAGTGACGTTCAGTATTTGCATGCATTCCAGCTCTAGTTGTTCAAACATGTTGACAGAAAAATCAAATGAACCTGCTCCAATGAACCGTTATCAATAAAGGAAGATTCCTTATCGCAGATGTCCTGACTTTCTTCCCAAACCCCAATACGTAATTTCCGTTTAGGCGATAGAGTACGTCTCAAACCTGAACAATACCGTTGTACATATGTGTGTAAATAAATATAGTGCTACTGTATATGCTATTATATTGTGAGACATCAGACTATAGCTAATATGTACTTTTAATAATTATTTATTGTGTGCCATATTTATGCCGTGAAATATTGTGCTTTAATGATGTCAGCATTTAAATGTTTGTACGGAAACGTTTAAGTCATAATCTAATAACAATATTTTGAATAAATTCTGCGTTATTGGTTATTAACCAAACGTATTTGTTTTATCCATGATATGTGCGACGTAATAACATCATTTTAATAACATTATCTAGAGTTCAGTGTACCAACATAGATCTATAGTCTAGTGTGCCTAAAAAAGCCAATTTGAACTTTCTTACCGTGTATTACATAAGAACATAAGAACATAAGAAATTTACAAACGAGAGGAGGCCATTCGGCCCATCAAGCTCGTTTGGGGAGAACTTAGCTAATAGCTCAGAGTTGTTAAAATCTTATCTAGCTCTGATTTAAAGGAACCCATGGTTTTAGCTTCCACTACAATAGCAGGAAGACTACTCCATACTCTAACTACACACTGTG